CCTAAACCCTAACCCTAAACCCTAACCCTAACTGTAACCGTAACCCTAGTAACCCTACCGTAACCCTAAACCTAATGCCCTAAACCTAAACCTAACCCTAAACCAAACTAACCTAAAACCTAAACCCTAAAAACCTAAACCCTAAACCTAAACCTTAACCTAATGCTACACCTAAACCTGCCCCTAAACCTAACTGTAAACCCTAAACCTAAATCTAACTGTAAGCCTAATACTGGCTGTAATTTTGGGAGTCGGTCTGGCAGTTGGGAGTCAGGGCTGAAAACAGGAAACAATAGCCCTTATCCCCAGGAAAGAAAGCCTGGAAACTTGGGTTTGTGGTGCAGTGTGTTTGCCAAGCTGGGGTGTCCATGAATAGCGAGTGCTTTCTGTGCTGTCATCTTTGTTGTGGGAGGAATCTTTGTTTATATGCAATTTTGGGAATCGGTCTGGTCGTTGGGAGGCAGGTCTGAAAACAGGAAATGACAGCCCTTATGGCCAGGAAAGAAAGCCTGGAGACTTTGCGGTGCAGCTGGTGTGTCACTCTGGGCACTCCATGGGGAGGAAGAACTTCCTGTGCTGTCATCTTTGGTGTGGGAGGAGTCTTTGTTTATATGCAATTTTGGGAGTTGGGCTGGCAGTTGGGAGGCAGGTCTGAAAACAGGAAATGACAGCGCTTATCAGCAGGAAAGAAAGCCTGGAAGTTTTGGCTTTGTGGTGCCTTTGGTTTGTCAACCTGGAGACTCCATGGGGAGCAGGAGTTTTCTCTGCCTACATCTTCGCTGGTGGAGGAATCTTCCTTCGTATGCAATTTTGGAGTCGGGTTGGCAGTTGGGAGGCAGGTGTGAAAACAGGAAATGACAGCCCTTATCGCCAGGAAAGAAAGCCTGGAGGATTTGCCTTTGTGGCGCAGCTGGTGTGTCATTCTGGGCACTCCATGGGAAGGAAGAACTTTCTGTGCTGACCTCTTTGGTGTGGCAGGAGTCTTTGTTTATATGCAATTTTGGGAATTGGTCTGGCAGTCGGGAGGCAGGTCTGAAAACAGGAAATGACAGCCGTTATCCCCAGGAAAGAAAGCCTGGAAACTTGGGTTTGTGTGTGGGAAGTATTGCAGAAACAAGGTTGATAGAAAGAGGACATGAGAGAGATGCTATAGCTCTGGTCCCACGGTAAGAGAAAACTATCAGAAGGTCACTGTGTTTGAGAAACTGGGTACGTGACAGAAGAATAGAATAAAACGGATGGGAAAGCAGAGCAAATAGCAAACAAGTATCCATAAGAAGGTTAAAGAAACAGCATTTGCGTAAATTTAACTTAGGTAATTAGAAACCAATGATGAGCTTAGCTTTTGTAATATGTATGAAGCTAATTTGTAACCTTTTTAAGCACAGAGCACGCAGCAATAAAGTTGGATAAGTTATTGATAAATTCTGTGGTCTAAAAGTGTCTTTATCCCGTCGTCTACAACATTTGTGGTGCAGTGTGTTTGTCAAGCAGGGGCGTCCATGAATAGCGAGTGCTTTCTGTGCTGGCATCTTTGTTGTGGGAGGAATCTTTGTCTAGGAAAGAAAGGAATCTTTGCCAGAAAAGAAAGTCTGGCTTTGTGGCTTTGTGGTGCTTTCGGTTTGTCAGCCTGGAGACTCCATGCGGAGTAAGAGTTTTCTCTGCCTACACCTTCGCCGTGGGAGTAATATTCCTTCGTACGCAAATTTCGGAGTCAATCTTCCAGTTGGGACGAAGGTGTGGAAACAGGAAATGACAGCCCATATCGCCAGGAAAGAAAGCCAGCAATCTTCAGCTTTCCAGTGGAGTTGGTTTGCCAGCATAGGGAGCCCATGAGCAACAAGAAATTTCTGTGCTATCACCTCATCATCACAGTGACCTCATAAAGCCCAGACATGTCATAATGGTGCAGGCCTCATCATCACAATGATCTCAAAAAGGCCAAAAGTCATAATGGTGCAGGCCTCATCATCACATTGACATCATAAAGCCCAGACGCCTCATAACGGTGCAGGCCTCCTCATAGCACTGAACTCATAAAGCCCAGATGTTGCCCGTAACCAGAAGAAACACAAACCAACAGAGTGCCGGTTTATGCGGTGCTTTATTCGGGGCCCCGGGAACCTGAGGACTAGCGTCCAAAGTCAGGATTCCGAAGACCCTCATTTTCAGTTCAGCTTTTATACACAAACAAGTTTACGTGCAGTTTCCACGGCAAAACAGTTACAGTTTCCACAGCAAACCAGGTGCAGTTGCAAACAAGCTCATACTTCATACTGATAACAATTAATAATCATCTACTCCAATCATAAATCTGCTTAAGTTGTCTTATCCCTAGAAACTGTTTAACAGACCTTAACCACATCCTAGGTAACAAATCGTTGCATACATGCCTGACTAGATCCTTTGATTATGGTTTCCACTTCCCACACAAACAAAGTTGCTTTCTAGGCCTACTCTTCTACTAAGCCTTAGCCATTCTACTACTAATTTAAATTGCTGTGCAACATGTCCCCCCTTTTGAGCATTCTTCAGGCTTTGCTTGCAAGGATGCTCAAATACAGCAATCTTCAGGCTGTAGTTTCTTGGTAGGTAGGAGGTGATTCCATTTTGCGGTGAGATTATTTCTTTTCTTGTTATAGCTTTCATGATGCGTCTCGTATGTTGACCTTCTTTTACAATCATTCCTAAAAGACACTTGTAAACAGTTATGGCTATGACAATAATTATTACAATTAATATTCCGTACTGGATAACAGAAGATATCCATCCTGACACATGAAGACCTAGGGAGCTGAATAATTGTCCTATCCAATTATGCTCTGCTTCTTTTTGCAGTTCATGAACATTCTCGTCAATTTGTTCTAATTGGCTAATATCTTTCTCAACTTCTTGAGTGACATTTGGGATGTGTACACAACAATGCTCGTCCTTTGCATGCAGGTAGCCGCAAACTCCATGTTCCTTAAGTAATATTAGGTCTAATGCCATGCGGTTTTGTATGGTCATTCTAGAGGTGGCTTGTAATTGTAAATTTAGATCTTTAAATCCCTTCTTAGTGACTGCTGCTAACCTTTCAGTTTGTCCCATTAATTTAAACAACATTTCTCTGTTCCGGTATGTTGAGATTGGTGCAAATAGAGACTCTAATGCCCATCCAAATTTAACTCCTGCTGATGGTTCATGCCAATCTCCCAACCCCAGGTCATCAATATCTTTACCAACTTCTCTTTTCCTTCGTGGTTGTATTTCTACTGATGTTAACTTATCTTGCTTCCAGAATGGACAGAGAGTAGGTATCCCTAGTGTGACAGGTACAACTGGACCATCTATGGGTATGTGGGTGGCCCACTGGCCATGTCCCATTACCCATACTAAATTTCCTGGGCTCCTAACTGTAGTGGTACGGCAATCAATGTTTTTCACAGATCCTTTAATCGTATGATTATATCCCCGACATTCACATCCCAACTGCAAAAGTGTTTTGACTGGCATTAAACCTATCTCATCATCTGGGGTATCACATGTGTATATTCGAGTACAATTCCAATCCTCTTTTGTACGTGTTTCTGTCCTCCAATTATGATTCCCTCTATTTCCTATAGAATAAGTTTGATTCTTTTTCCCTTTCCAGTGAATGCACCACTGTACTTTTCCAATGTAACTATATGTCTCTAGTAAGCTGGGTCCCCAAATTGTTTGCCATTCTTCCATGGTTGTAGAACTAGTAGTATTTTGACACACTTCTTCTTGCTTTTCTCGTTTTATTTGAACTTGTACTTTAGAACATGGGTGTGTTACTGAACCTGAGATCAAACAATTTCCTTCTAACTTTCCAATTTTCCCACTTTCTACCCAGCGAAAATATCCAGGCATCTGTTCACATTGTTTTTTAGTCATTTTGTCTCTCAATAAACATGCATCTGTCATTTCATTCCATGTTCTAGTTACAAATCTACAATTCCATGTAGTATTCTTAAACATTCTAGGGATTTCCGGTACTGGAATTATTCCCCATGGGATTGGGTCTCCTGCAGCATGAGGCATAGGGAGACATGCAGTGATTTTTGTGACATTCTGTACTTTCCCAAAATCACGAATTAGGCCTACAACTAGGTTTTCTTGTTCTACTTCTCTATCTGGAATCTGCAGGTTACTTACTTGTCGGGTTATTCTTTCAGTCCTTCTGGAATTTTGCAGCTTAGAATCAGATCTCTTCCTTCCTGGGTCGAATAAAAACTATGTTCTGGTCTAACTCTTATTCCTTGATGTGGTACGGCTACTGCTGTCCTTATCCCGTGATCTTTTTCTTCTCCACATGAGACTACACAAAGAAATGTACCTTCTGTCTTTCCTACTCTGGGATTAGAAATATTCAGCCACCCTTTACCTCCTTTACTATTTGACCACCAGCTAACTCCTTGACTTTGTGATTCCCAAGATTGATTTGCCACATTTAATTTCCACCACTTTACTTTAACTGATTTTCGACAATCATCAAATTGGAAGGTACAATTGATTTTTAAAGGAGGACCATCCCACATGTCTGATTGTTTCTTAGTGGGTAAAACTCGCACTTTGGTCACCGCCTTCTGAGTCGTGTTTATTGTCTGTATTTCTATATGTCCGTAATCAAAACTTTCCCAAATCCAAACTACACACATATATGTCCCTTCCATAGCTTTGTTCACTTTGGGTACCTGCAGAACGGTGTAACCTTTTTGTTGTGTAGCATCCCAAACTGTTGTCACTCCTTCTGTCATAATTTGGTCTTGATCTCTCCACCTCCACTTGACATGGACATCTCTTAATTCAGCTCCCTGGTCATCTGAAAATAGACAAGTTAAGTTTACATCAGTGTGTTCTGGTACAAATAAATAAGGATCTGGGGTCTCAATTCTCACGGTGGTTTCTGTTAAACTTATCAACCCCAGGAACACTATGATCCTCAATGGTTGGCTCGAAATACCATTCTTGTGGGTGAGAGAGGTTCTACCGACCACGAAACTGGAACTTTCTTGACCCGAGTATAATGGATCCAGCTGTCGATTCCTTCGACCTTCACTGCCGTGTAGGTCGTCATGATCACCTGGCGAGGACCGTCCCATGTTTCTTTCAGCGGCTCCACCGACCAGTTTCTCACGTAGACATGATCTCCTGGAGAAATGTCATGCACTGGATTCTCCAGGGGCAAAGGTCGATTCCACTGCAACGCTCCTCTGAGGGCTGTGAGAGTCTTATTTAAAGATAACACATAATTAAACACTGCTTGATCACCTACTATATGAGGATCCCCTTGGTAAGTAGCTGCATGATAAGGTTTGCCATATAATATTTCATATGGACTTACTCCTATTCTCTCCCTTGGTTTGATCCTAATTCTCAACAAGGCAATGGATACTGCTTGGGGCCACGGAATCTTTGCCTCCTGACAAATTTTCTTCAATTGACCTTTCAATGTCTGATTCATCCTTTCAACTTGTCCACTAGACTGTGGTCTCCATGGTGTATGGAGATTCCATGTTATCCCTAATACAACTGACACATCTTGTACTATTCCTGCTATAAAGTGCGGTCCTCGATCAGAGGACAACCCTAGGGGAACTCCAAATCTTGGGATGATTTCCCTCAAGAGAGTTTTTACCACTTCCTTTGCTTGATTAGTCCTACAGGGAAAAGCCTCAGGCCATCCTGAAAAGGTGCAGACATATACTAACAAATACTTATAGGATTGGGCTTTAGGCAACTCAGAAAAATCTACTTGCCAGTAATCTCCCGGTAACTGACCTATCTGTAATTTTCCCATCTGCACCTGCTTCCTGACTACTGGGTTATTCTTTATGCACATAGGACACATTGCATTTACCCTTTTTGCCAATGTTAACATCTGGTTTGAGAGAACCTCATTTTTCAAAAATTTTACCAATGCTTCTGCACCCCAGTGGCACTTATTGTGTTCTGTTTCAAGCACTGCTTTCATTATTCTGACAGGTAGAATCACTTGTCCTATGGGGGAAATGTACCACCCTTTAACATTTTTCTTTGCATTTGTCATTTGAGCTAATTTCTCATCTTCCTGTGAATAATGTGGTTTTTCTTCCATATATGGTATTGCTGGATTATTTCGAACAGGCAAAAGAACCATCTGAGTCCATACTTCTCTTGCGGCCTGCTTAGCCGCTTGGTCAGCCTGTCGATTACCTCGAAATTCTCGTCCGGGATCTCTCTGATGTCCTTTTACATGCATTATTGCCACTGCTGAGGGCTTGTGTATTGCCTCTAGCAATTGTAAAATTTCTTCCCGATGTTTAATCATTGTCCCTTGAGAAGTAAGAAGTCCTCTCTCTTTCCAGAGTGCTCCGTGAACATGAACTACCCCAAAAGCATATTTGGAGTCAGTCCATATGTTAACTCTCTTTCCTTGGCTTAATATTAAAGCTCTCACCAATGCCCATATTTCGGCCTTTTGTGCAGACGTACCTGGGGGTAGTGCATTTGCTTCTATCACTTCTTGTTCAGTGACCACTGCATACCCAGCATACCTGGTGCCGTTCTCCACAAAGCTAGATCCATCAGTGAACAATTCCCAGTCAGGATCTGCCAATGGCTCGTCCTTCAAGTCTCTTCTGCTCGCGTAGACTTGTTCAATGGTCTCTACACAGTCATGCTCCAGAATACCTTCTTCCTGTGTAGACCTAAGGAATTCTGCTGGGTTGAGATGGTTAGTGATTTTCAGTTCAACATCATCTTGTTCTCTCAACAAAGCTTGATACTGTAACATACGGCTAGATGAGAGCCAATGCCCCCCTTTTTGTTCCAAAACTGCTATGACCATGTGGGGTACGTACACTACCATGTGTTTTCCCAGAGTCAATTTTCGTGCTTCTTGTATTAAAATAACCGTTGCTGCCACAGCTCTGAGACACCCTGGCCATCCCCCACTTACTGCGTCTAGCCGTTTGGAGAAATATCCAACAGGTCTTTTCCAGGATCCTAGACGCTGAGTGAGGACTCCTAAAGCCATTCGTTGTCTCTCGCAGACATAGAGCTGAAACTCCTTGGTTGGGTCCGGCAGTCCCAGGGCAGGTGCTTCCTGGAGAGCTCTTTTCAATTCCTGGAACGCTTTCTCTTGCTTCGTCCCCCAGGTCAGCTTGGGCTCCTTTACTGCTTCATATAAGGGTCTGGCAATTAGTCCAAAGTTGGGAATCCACAGTCTGCACCATCCGACCATTCCTAAAAAAGATCTCAGTTCCTGATTATTTCGGGGCACAGGAATAGCACATATTGCTTGAACCCTATTTGTTCCTAAGCGTCGGGTTCCTTGGGAGATTTCACATCCTAGATAAATAACTTTCTGTTTTACTAGTTGTGCTTTTTCTTTTGAGACTCGGTAGCCTGCTTGTCCCAGCATATTTAACAGTTCAATGGTTAATTGACGGCAGAGTCCCTGCTCTGTATTTCTCAAAAAGATGTCATCAACATATTGAAGTATTATATATGAAAAAAAGAGATTCTTTTACCTGAGTAGTCTTCCATTCTTCAAGTTCCTTTGCTAACTGATTACCAAATATCGTGGGTGAGCATTTGAATCCTTGTGGTAATCGAGTCCAAGTAAGCTGTAGCTTCCGTCCAGTCTCTGGGTTCTCCCATTCAAAGGCAAAGATTTTCCAACTTTCCCGTGCCAGTGGTATGCAGAAGAAGGCATCCTTTAGATCAATCACTGTAAACCACTGAAATCTCTCAGAAACAGATGTTAACAAGGTGTAAGGGTTAGCTACAACCGGGTGGATATCTTTTGTGATGAGGTTTACTGCTCTAAAGTCTTGCACTAACCTATACTTACCATTTTGCTTTTTATCGGAAAAATGGGAGTATTAAACTCTGACTCACATTCTTTTAATATCCCTAAAATTAAAAACTGTGTGATCATAGGAGCTATTCCTTTCCTGGCTTCTAAACTAATTGGGTATTGTCGCACTCTAACGGGTTGTGCTCCTTCTTTCTCTTAAAGAAAACAAGTAAATATCTTCACTGGCTTCTAACCATATATCGGCATAAAAACTCTCCTCTGGGCAAAAGGGTTTTTATTGCTAACATACCAAATTAAAAGTTCACAGACCCAATTCTTAAAAGTACCATATATGGGCCAGTAAGTATTATTTCCTATTCTTCTACCTCCCCACACTTCAATACAATACTTAATCATTTTCTCCTTTGATCTTCTATAAGTGCTGGAATAACAACTCCGGTTCTCTAAGAGGTTCCCCAAGGGACTTTCAGGGGGAATCCTCAGCGTCCTAGCCTCAAAGTCACCTTTTACTAATCTTCTTATCAGAGGGCTATTTGTAATCTCTCTCTGAGGTTCCTCTTTTTTTTTTTTACTACTTTTAACTTCATTCAGAGGTTCCTCTTTTAACTTCTCTAAAAAGGCTGAAAGAGATTCTCCCCTATTCCGTCCCACCGAGCACAGCCCTGACCAGTCCAGCGTCCCTGGTATCTCACTTTGCACTCCCTCCACCAACAATTCTCGGTAATTTCTCAACTTTCTACAATCTCCAGACACATTTGGATCCCACCCGGGATCCTCCCGCGGCACAAAATCATCCACTGCTCCCCCCGCCGCCCGGGACAGAGTTCGCATTCTTTCTTTCGCTCTTTCCACCATCACTCTTAATACCATTTCTTTTTCTGTTGAATCCAGAATTGTATCTAACAATACCTGTAAATCATTCCAGTCCGGATTTTGAGTTTTTCTAACCATTTTTATAACACAAGTCACCTGCTCCGGATTTTCTCTGTATGACCCAGCTGACTGTTTCCAAATTAATATATCATTAGGTAAAAAAAGAAACTTTCATCATGACTTTTCCCCCATCCGCTCCAACTGCTTCCCGCGAAGGGGCCATTAATCTCGGGGGTGAAAGCGAAACTTCCCTCAACTTTCCCCCCCGCGCCGTCTTTCGCTACTCCTCCCTCGTTCTCTTCGAGCTCTCCGCGTTCGTTCAGCTAAAGGAGTTCTATCAAAATCACATTCTCTCTTTTCTCTTTTCTTCCTCATCCGAGGACGATTCTAGCGGGGGCATGGAGGGCGACCGTGCCTTCTCACGTGAAGGGAGACTATCTCTCGAGGGCGCACTTGGAGTTCTACCGGGGGAGACTAACAAAGACACATCCTCCTCTGGTTCTGAAAACCGTATTTTCCGCTCATATTTGTCATCCAATCCTTTCAATATCATTATACTCCGCTCTTGACATTCTTTACATTTATCATCCTCCAGTTTCAGTTCTTTCAACACTAAAATACCACATTCCTTTTGCCACTCAGTGTTATGTTCTAAATAATAAAACAAGTCCAGATACGGTATTTCATCCCACTTCTCATTCTCTCGTAAATATCGCATCAAAGGGGTTATAATTTCCAAAGTCAATGAACCATTTCTAGGCCACTGCATTCCTTCTGTCTCATATTGAGGCCATACATTATTACAGTAATCAATCAATTGTTTCTTGTTTAACTCTTGTCCAAAATTTCCCTCCTTCCAATGTTTTAACAAGCAACCAAGCGGAGAATCGCTAGGGATATCTTTTTCTGCACAAGATAATGCTCTAAAAGTTTTAAACGGCATCATACCGGCTCACACATACACCGTAATGTGAATTCCTCAAATTCACAATACACCACAATGTGAATTCCTCAAATTCACAATACCACAACCATACAAAACAATACGTTTAACGACCAGCACGACAACACAACAACATAAACCAAGTACATATTCCAAAACCAAAACCAAAACCAACTCGCCAATTCTCCCTCTGAGTGGCGAGTGCTGGTACAGCGCGGCTTTCGCTACGTCTTACGACCAGCGCCTAGGCTTCCCAACCGAGGTACCTTTAGCCCAACCTAGCGGGTAACTTGCGGTCCCGTCTTATAGGCAGGCTCCCAACCAACAAACCTAAAAGAATAAAGCACCTCCGGGCTTACCTGGATGGGTTGTCCGGCAGGTGCGGGGTCGTGCACGGGTCGATGTCTCCCCAGAAATCACCTGGTTGCCGGCGTGGAGTAGATCAGCCCGTGAGCCGCCCCAGCTACCCCCGGAGTCCCCAGTCTGGGTCGCCAGAAAACTGTTGCCCGTAACCAGAAGAAACACAAACCAACAGAGTGCCGGTTTATGCGGTGCTTTATTCAGGGCCCCGGGAACCTGAGGACTAGCGTCCAAAGTCAGGATTCCGAAGACCCTCATTTTCAGTTCAGCTTTTATACACAAACAAGTTTACGTGCAGTTTCCACGGCAAAACAGTTACAGTTTCCACAGCAAACCAGGTGCAGTTGCAAACAAGCTCATACTTCATACTGATAACAATTAATAATCATCTACTCCAATCATAAATCTGCTTAAGTTGTCTTATCCCTAGAAACTGTTTAACAGACCTTAACCACATCCTAGGTAACAAATCGTTGCATACATGCCTGACTAGATCCTTTGATTATGGTTTCCACTTCCCACACAAACAAAGTTGCTTTCTAGGCCTACTCTTCTACTAAGCCTTAGCCATTCTACTACTAATTTAAATTGCTGTGCAACATCTGGGTCGCCAGAAAACTGTTGCCCGTAACCAGAAGAAACACAAACCAACAGAGTGCCGGTTTATGCGGTGCTTTATTCGGGGCCCCGGGAACCTGAGGACTAGCGTCCAAAGTCAGGATTCCGAAGACCCTCATTTTCAGTTCAGCTTTTATACACAAACAAGTTTATGTGCAGTTTCCACGGCAAACCAGTTACAGTTTCCACAGCAAACCAGGTGCAGTTACAAACAAGCTCATACTTCATACTGATAACAATTAATAATCATCTACTCCAATCATAAATCTGCTTAAGTTGTCTTATCCCTAGAAACTGTTTAACAGACCTTAACCACATCCTAGGTAACAAATCGTTGCATACATGCCTGACTAGATCCTTTGATTATGGTTTCCACTTCCCACACAAACAAAGTTGCTTTCTAGGCCTACTCTTCTACTAAGCCTTAGCCATTCTACTACTAATTTAAATTGCTGTGCAACACAGACATGTCATAATGGTGCACGTTTCATCATCACACTGACCTCATAAAGCCCAGACATGTCATAATGGTGCAGGCCTCGTCATGGCAACGACCTCATATACCCCAGACACGTCATAATGGTGCAGACCTCATCATCACACTGACCTTATAAAGACCAGACACCTCATAATGGTGCAGGACTCATCATCACAGTGACCTCATAAAGCCCAGACATGTCATAATGGTGCAGACCTCACCATGGCACAGACCTCATAAAGCCCAGACATGTCATAATGGTGCAGCCCTCATCATCACATTGACAACATAAAAGCCAGACATGTCGTAATGGTTCAGGCCTCATCACCACACTAATTTGATAAAGCCCAGAAATGTCATAATGATGCACGCCTCGTCATGGCACCAACCTTATACAGACTAGACACGTCATAATGGTGCAGGCCTCACCATCACACTGACCTCATAAAGTCCAGACATGTCATACTTGTTCAGGCCTCCTCATGGAACAGACTTCATAAAGCCCAGATATGTCATAATGGTGCAGACCTCATCATCACACTGACCTCATAAAGCCCAGACATGTCATAATGGTGCAGCCCTCATCATCACATTGAGCTCATAAATCCCAGTCACCTGATAACGGTAGAATCCTCATCATGGCACTGACCTCATAAAGCCCAGACATGTCATAATGGTTCAGGCCTCATCTTGGCACTGAACTCATAAACTCCAGACATCATAATGGTGCAGGCCTCCTCATGGCACTGACCTCATAAAGCCCAGACATGTCATAATGGTGCAGGACTCATCATCACACTGACCTCATAAAGCCCAGAGACAACATAATGGTGCAGGCCTCATCATCACACTGACCTCAAAAAGACCAGACACTTCATAATGGTGCAGGCGTCATCATGGCACTGACCTCGTAAAGCCGAGACATGTCATAATGGTGCAGGTCTCATCATCACACTGACCCCATAAAGCCGAGACACCTCATAATGGTGCTGGACTCATCATCACAGTGATGTCATAAAGTCCAGACATGTCATTATAGTGCAGGCCTCATTATCACACTGACATCATAAAGCCCTGACACCTCATAATGGTGCAGCTCTCATAATCACAGTGACATAATAAAGCCCTGACACCTCATAATGGTGCAGCTCTCATAATCACAGTGACATAATAAAGCCCAGACACGTCGTAATGGTGCAGGCCTCATCATCACACTGACCTCATAAAGACCAGACATGTCATAATGGTGCAGGCCTCATTATCACACTGATTTGATACAGCCCAGACATGTCATAATGGTGCAGGCCTCCTTAGTGCACCGACCTCATATAGCCCAGACACGTCATAATGGTGCAGGCCTCATCATCACAGTGACCTCATAAAGCCCAGACATGTCATAATGGTGCAGGCCTCATCATGGCACTGACCTCATAAAACCCAGACATGTCATAATGGTACAGGCCTCATCATCACATTGACATCATAAAGCCCAGACATGTCATAAAGGTGCAGGCCTCCTCATGGCACAGACCTCATAAAGCCCAGACATATCACAACGGTGCGGGCCTCATCATCACATTGACATCATAAAGTCCAGACATGTGATAATGGTGCAGGCCTAATCATCACAGTGACCTGATAAAGCCCAAACATGTCATAGTGGAGCAGGCCTCATCATGGCATTGACCTCATAAAGCCCAGACATTTCATAATGGTGTAGGCCTCATCATCACACTGATGTCATAAAGCCCAGACACCTCATAATGGTGCAGGACTCATCATCACACTGATGTCATAAAGCCCAGAAATGTCATAATGGTTCAGGCCTCATCACCACACTGATTTGATAAAGCCCAGACATGTCATAATGGTGCAGGCCTCCCCATGGCACTCACCTCAGATAGACCAGACACGTCATAATG